AAAGGTCCAAGATATGCAAAAACATTCCGACTTTCCTTGGAATGACGTTCATTTATTCTCTCTTTGTCTGTCTCTCTTTGTATTTATCTATGTAACTATCTCTCTCTCTCTCTCTCTCTCTCTCTCTCACTCTCTCACTCTCTCACTCACTCACTCTCCCACTCTCCCACTCTCCCTCTCTCTCACTCTCTCTCTTTCTGACTCACTCATTTACGCATTTTCTCCTCTCTCTTTCTCTTCCTCCCCCCTCTCTCTCTTTCTCTCTCTCTCTCTATATATATATATACACACACATACATATTTATTCATTTATCTATCCATCTTTTTCATCCTCTCTACCCACTCACTCATTCACCCATTCTCTCTCTCTCTCTCTCTCTCTCTCTCTCTCTCTCTCCCTCTCTCTCTCTCTCTCTCTCTCTCTCTCTCTCTTGTTATCGTTATCGCCATCGTCATCGTTCTCATTCTCTCTCTACCTTTCAATACATCTATATATTAACTCCTTTTCTCTAGTGTTCGCTCTAACAATACTTCATTAATGCAATAAAGATTGTAATCAATATGGCCATAACACTAACAACATAAAAAGAATAATTAGATTCTAATCATTCCTGAACATCACAATATATATAGTAATGATGACGGTAATGATGATGATTATTGGTGGTGGCGGTGTTGGTGGTGGTGGTGGTGGTGGTGTTGGTGATGGTGTTGGTGATGGTGTTGGTGATGGTGGTGTTGGTGGTGGTGGTGTTGATGTTGGTGGTGGTGGTGGTGGTGGTGGTGTTGGTGATGGTGATGGTGTTGTTGTTGTTGGTGGTGATGGTGGTGGTGGTGTTGTTGGTGGTGGTGATGGTGTTGTTGTTGGAGGTGGTGGTGTTGTTGGTGGTGGTGTTCGTGGTGGTGTTGTTGGTGGTGGTGATGGTGGTGGTGTTGTTGTTGGTGGTGATGGTGGTGTTGGTGGTGGTGATGGTGGTGGCGGTGGTGGTGGTGATGGTAGTGGTGATGGTGGTGGTGGTGGTGGTGGTGGTGTTGATGTTGGTGGTGGTGGTGGTGATGATTAGGATGATAATGACAATAATAACCATTCACTGCGAAGAAAGGGGACAGGAAAAGTAGAAGTGACTTATTTTTGCTTCATATTTTTATATAATCTAGATAAAATATTGATAACTTTTGATGTTGTATTTTAAGAGAGATTATGAATTAATAATTTAATCGGGTTGCATAGAATGATACCTGACAGCTTTCATATCAATCACCTAATATTATCATTACACTAAAGCTTTGATATCTATGAGATTTGTGTAGCAATGTTGTTTTGTGTTTTGTCCTGTTCCTTTTTCTCTATTCTCTGACTGGCTGTTCGCTTGTGTCTGTCATTCTCTCTCTTTCATGTATTTTTTACTCAGTCTGTCTGTGTCTGTTTGTGTCTCTGTCTCTGTCTTTCTCTTTCGGTCTGTCTAATAATCTATCATTCTATCTGTCCATATCTAATTCTATATCCATCTCTCGTACATTCTCGTATACTCTGTCTGTGTCTGTCTCTGTTTCTGTCCCTCTCTGTCTCGTCTGTATCTGTCTGTCTGTCCGTCCGCTCGTCTGTTTGTCTCTATATATATGTGTGTGTGTGTGTGTGTGTGTGTGTGTGTGTGTGTGTGTGTGTGTGTGTGTGTGTGTGTGTGTGTGTGCATTACATATATACCATATATATATATATTATATAAATATATGCTGTACATATATATATATATATAGAGAGAGAGAGAGAGAGAGAGAGAGAGAGATAGATAGATAGATATATAGATATATAGATATATACATATATATATATATATCACATATAGTTTTATATATATATATATATATATATATATATATATATATATATATATTTAATTCGTACCTGTTTCATATTACACATATAAGCACACTTGAATTGGAAAAATTTTCACGAAGAAAGTTGGGCATCTAACGAACCATGTGATGACTCCTTTCTTCACAATTTCTCTCCCCTCTTCTGTGCCATCTTTATCATTATCTTTATCATCCATGCTATTACCCTTTTTATCAGCCATGACTGTCTTATCACCTCCTAATACGTATATAAAAAGAGAAGGGAAAAGCAAATGTGAGCGACATATTAAGAGAAAGAGTTATGGCTAAGACTTTATGATATATGGCTTTTTGTGTCTTACGTCCTCGCTAATAACTTTCAGCCGTGGACGATAAGGTTGTTTCCCCCTAGTTATCAAATGGATAAAATAGCCTTTATATACACTTGTATTCGGCATCATAAAAGAGTGGAACGTGAGTTTGAAGCTATCATGTTTATTATCAATCATAATCACAATTATAATCGCAAAGGGGGTGCTGTTAAGCCCTTACTCTATTGCAGATCCAACTGTTACATGAAAATATCTTCTTTTACTATTACTGTCTCGTTTGTCGCTCTCTTTCGCTTCAATTTCTTGGTTCCTTCTTGGCGACCGTTTATTAGTCTATTATATGTAAAAAGTGATCTTCAGTATCTGATTTTCTTCTTTATTGTCGCCATTTACTGCTATTTTATCTCTCTTCGGTTCATTTAACACGAACTTCGAATTCTAAAAGTTTTTTTTGTTTAAACATTAGCTCAAAACATTACACACGACAACTTTTTCATCGTTATCTTGTTCAAATCTTGTTCACTTCTCCCCTCCTCCCTTTTCATCCCGGTGAACCGTTGCAT